GAATAATTAGATCCTTGTGGTATTCCATCAATTTGAAGAAAAATATCCTTTCCATTGTAAAGATAATTATTAAAAAGACAAAAATTAATCAAAATCGCAACAAAGGATATTTTTAAAATCATAGTAATAATTCAAAAGAACATCTTTTAGTTTAGAAAGGGGAATGCTATTGAAAAGATCCTGGAAATCAAAAGTCGCAATAGAATTAATTTTATTATGTTTAATGAAATCTAAAATCGGTTGATTATTAGTGATAATCCAAGAGAAACCTTCTTTAGTAATATTGTTAATAATTTTATTTAAGTAGTTAGAGAAAATGGTGCCAGGTTTAGTTAAATAAGTATTAGATCCACATGCGATAGTTCTAAATTTTACAGGAATTTTATGAAATTTAGGACTGATAATTAAGTAATTTTTTTTTAATTATTATTCCCCCCTTTTTTCATATGCCTATAATTTTCCTTTGTTTTATCTTCATTTTTTTCTTATATATATATATATATTATATATTTCATTATTTAAAGATAATTTGGTTACTTTTTGTTTATATATAAAAGAAGAGAGTGTGAAAGAATTCTGTTAGTTATATAGCAAATTTATAATTTTCGTCTATGAGGCAGCATTTAAATAAAGATAAAGTCTGCTTTTAAAATTGTTTGAACAAAAAAAATCTCTTTTTCTTTTCTATTACATATCTGAAACATATTAGTTTCGAGAAATTTCTGATATATTTGACTCTTTCTTTCAGATCACAAAGACATTCAGAGACGTCTACATCTGCCAGTACAAGTGAGGACTCTGATTATGTATGTCCTAAATCTGGATGTACCGATATTGGTCCCCCACGTACAAATGATTGGTATAACTCTACTGAAACAAAATATGGTATGTCTCCTGCTCTTATGTCTATCGATACTCAACAGTATCTGGAAAAATATCGTGCCAACTTGGAGAAATGGTCCTCAAAGAAGTCTAAAGCCCCGCATTCTAAACGACAACTTAGATAAAAGAGTGAATTTGCGATTTTTTTTTTTTTGGTACTTATTGACTGTAAGCAGTGAGAATTTCTGGTCAAGTTGACACTAAAAAGCAAGATAAAGACTTGTATATAGTTGTAACTTTCATGATTTTCTCTAGAATCAACTATTTAATGCTTGAAACTATACTAAAATATAGTTGTTTCTTGCAAGTCAGTTTTTAGTATGTAGACAAAAGTTCACTTAGTTTTTATCAATTTTAGTGTTAATTTTTCAAGTTTCATAAAGGCTAAATTATAATTAGATGACACAAAGTGTTTTTTTCTTCTTTCTGGTGCCTTTAAAATGTTAGTTAATGAAATGTAGTCATGGATATTGTATGGGATTTGTATATTTTTTATTTTAGTATCAAATTATATCTCTGGCTTGAGTAAGTTTGTGAATATAATTTTAATATTAAGTTGATGTTTCTGATATTTTATATTGTTAATACTACATAATTTGATATCAATAAGATCCATCACTTCTAAGTATCCTGAAAACCACTGACCATTTGAAAAATCAATTGAAGAAAGATTGGAATGAAAGCTAAGTAAATTTTTAATTAAATTTCAAAATTAGTTACTAATTTTATCAACAGATGGGGCTGCTATAAAAAAACTGTACGTTTTCAGCTGAATAACCTTTATAACTAATTTTTTGAACCTAAGAGAAACAGAACAAATCACAGCTATTCTATTTCCTTTTTTTTCTTTCTTTGATTTTTCAAATCCTCAGTAATTTTGGGGGCAATTTTTTTGTTAAAACTAGATACAGAGAGTTCTTGTCTTCCCTGTACATATTAGTATCTGTATCACATGTTGTGATTATTATTTTTTTTTTAATTATTAATTTGACACAACTCATATAATTTTTTAAAAAAAGTTTCTGACAATGATGAACTGTCAGTTTAAAGTATGTGTAAAACATTACATTTGTTATGACCTATTGACCTTTTTTTTTAGGTGTCTTTATACAAGGACAAATTAAAATGAATGTATTTTGAATAAAATTATAAGTTATTTGATTTTGTATTAATTTATAAGTACAAGTTTTAAGCAGGTAATCCAATGAATTTTTTGATTTGGTTTTTGGTTTGTTCAACAATTTCATTAGTATAAAACAGATATTAATATTCTTTTTCATTATAAATTTTTTTTTTTGTAGTTCATTTAAAAAAGGTCAAATGACTACAATGCAAATCATTAAAAAGACTTTCATATTTAAATGCAGAGCATCATATATAAAATAAAAATTGTAGCAACATTCTATATACAGTTAAACACACTTATAATGAGCAAATTGAAAATACTTCATTGGTACAATGTTAAGTCCATTGGAGCAGAACTCGCTGTTAGAGAGTAATTTCTGTGATTTGCGCTATATCTATATATTTCCACCTCACCAATTTTTTCTTTAAAAGTTTGTTTAATATTTCCAAAGACATTAGAAAGTTAGTGCGAGTCATAAATGTGAAATTTTTACAAAAGCAGGGTTGGCGATGCTTTTGAGCCACGAGTCTTATCCGAAGAACAATAAGACAATTCGTAGCAAAATTACTAACTTTTTTTTTGTACTGTATCGAAATAACAAGCAATGTAAATATTTTATTTATAATTTAATAAGTATGCATGAACATTTGCAATTTTTCACAAACCTGCTTTTTAACGAGCACTCTATAATGACGAGGAAATATTGCAGTCCATTTGTTTAACTGTATATATATATGTATCCTAAGTTGATAAGATTGCATCACAATGTGTCAACAGATATGGATATCGAAGAAATCTAAGCATCAAATAATTTTCTATTAAAATTACTTTATTTAAAAAATTTTTATGAACATGTTTAAATAACATATATGTAACAAAATAAAAGAAATAAATTAAACAGAACACAATCCAATAAAATTTATATTAAAATATTTTTATCATAATCACGGATATGCTTTTTTAAAATAAGAATCATTATTTAATATGTTTGTGTAGAGTCATCACTACTATCCATTCTGAAAGGATTATGGATTCCAAG